AAATAAACGGTTCTTTGTATATCTAAAAATATAGAAGACCTTATTTTGGGGGATTGTCCTTGTATTTTATTTTTAAGATGATATTACAAAAGTGAAATTTAGGCATAGAATAATATTTTTAATTGAATTTATTCAGTTCCCATTTGCTCATAGGTCTTTAATTTTTTTCATTAATGGTCCTTAAAAGTACTTAATTTCTGTGTGCAGAAATGTGTACGAACCTTGTACTTCCCGATTTCCAATCGTACTCCTGCCAATCCGATTTACAGTATTTCCCTTAACTTTCGCTTGTTCTTAAAATAATGAGTTTTATGTAGCTTGGCTTAATATTTCATTATATGCAACCAAAAAAGTGATTTTGGGCATCTGATTATGCATGGATTTTCTCTGTATTGCATATAAAAGAAAACCAAAGTCATTTCGTCAGTGAGACCTTATGGCATGCTTCTGCTAGGTGTGTGAAATATGTGTACAAAAACAATGTGTTCCAGTTCTCTAGTGAGCATCAAGCTGCACTTGGAGTCATCCGGTATATTATTAGACAATAAGCACAAAGAAATATTGATGTTGTTATTTTGACTCACAGCTGAGAACATGCATTCTTTGTCTCAGCACTGTAAGTTTTGCATGCTTTTGAGAAATAGTTTAGGAAATTATCTTAGTTATGTCTGCAAAAAAAAAGGGGGGGTAAAACACTCATGTACTTTTCAAAAATCATGCACAGAACTTTCCTTCTGTTATTTCGTCAAGGAAGTGTACATTTGTGATGCATACTGTTTGTGTTTGCAATTTTTTGATTTCGCACACTGGAAGGGCCGATGTACTTAAACATGTGCGTACACAAAAACACAAGGTCAACATGATTTGTATTAGGGGATTGTCTTGAAACAAAAAGGACCAAAAGGTTATTATTGCAGAACACCTGTACTTTGCTGTTTTACTGGAGAATGGTGAAATACAATTAAACATGCATAAAAAATATGCATAATAGTTAATCAGAGATCCAATTATTAAGAATTAAGCAATAGCACTTCCTCCAAAATGGACATTTCAAACAATGTGTTAGTAGCTAAATAGTTTTGTAAATCTTTACCATACAAAACAACCTCCTGCTGCCACCTAATTTTGGTTAAAAGAACTTCAAAATACCAGGACTTTTAAAGCCTCAGTGGTATCTTATTAAACGTACACGTCCTTTTGAGGAATTCTATTGATGGGACTTTTAAAGTCCTGTAGGAAAATAAAAAGGTTAATACAGCAAAATCTTTACTTATAATTCTCGACAAATTATTGAAGGGCAAATAGGTTATTAAACCTGATTTACAGCCAAATGTAGCTTTATATGAACTATGATCTATTCTAAAGTGATAAGCTCCATATTCCATAAATTGAATGAATTTTTATTCCTTCTGACCATAGTTTGTTTCAAGACAAGTGGATAGCTTCTCTTCAATGTCTTGGTTTGCTGTTTCAACTGAGCCTTATGATAGACTGTGTATTGGCTTTTCATGAATAATTTTGAATTTATTCCACAAACTTTTCAATAATTTTATTAGCAATTTCTTGGCCATTGTTGTTTTGCAAGCTGCATGCTGCTCCAAGTATTGGTGCTCCAATAAGCTGCATGGTGCTCCAATAAATGATTAAGCAAATTCTTCAGCACATTTTGTTTTAAATGCTTTTTATGAAACAAAGGTTGTTAAATGCTCTTAAAATGTTTTGTTTCTTTTGACAAGGTTCACATAGATTTATATACATCATTATACTGTAATGTTCTTATACTTTGTCTTAACCTCTTTAATCTTTCTTTTCACCTTCCATGACGAACTGCAATATGAATCTCATGAATTATTTAAAAATTCACCTCCGATACAATAACTATCTGGATCTTTTTCAATTTTTAACTGGAATGCTGAAATTTTTAACATTACCAATACTTACAATATCTTTTGATAGTTGTTTATAATCTTCTCATGATATCTCAGAAGTCTTCTCTGTGCTTTTAATAACTTTTGCGAAAAATTAATTATAATCTTCTCATGTAAATAATTCAATTTTTTTTTTTCAAGTTTGAGCACATCTAAATAATCATCAAATTGTGGTTTTGTGACTTTCGGATTATCATCCATTGTGCTTATAAATACAATAATATTTCTTAAAATGTAAAACAGTCATGCACATATTAGTAGCCGACAAAGAAAGTAACTTTAAATTGACACTATGCAGCACATAGAACATATAAAACTCTAAAATGTGAAGTATTTATGAGCTTCCTAAAAAAGTATGGGCCTCTTGACATAAAATCAACAATCAACTGATTTTGTCTAGCTGCTGCCAACAGACAAAAACAATCTCGCATGCTTACAACAGCTATACAATTGCATAATAGTGAGGTTCTGATGCAAGAAAAACATGCACATGTGCAATGTAAAATCTCAAACTGAATGCTTTGAAAATTATTATATTTACCTTTTATTATTTGAAATTATAACAGCCGCTTCGTACAATAAATTCTCAAAAATTATTCATGTTAATCAATTTATTTGGTTATGATTAATAATAACCTGTTAATTGCAATGATTATAACGTGTGTATGTGTATTATTTTACAGATTAGAAATTGCAAAAATCCAGATTGTTTATTTAATCACATTATTCCTTTCACTTTAAATTTTCTGAATTTATTTTGATTATCAATCAAGATAAAATTCAGAAACATGTCTTGGCTGCTGTCTGAAAAAGGCTGAAGAATTTTCAAGTACACTCTGTTTTGTTTCAAGTTTGATTTTTATTTTTTCTTGTTAGTTAATAAGTTAGCTACTTTTAATTGTTTTAATTATATTAATTATCTGGGGCTAGCAGTAGAGTCACCGAACACTAGTAGTTAGAACTACTAGTACACTAGAACACTAGTAGTAGAACACTATCCCATTGAATGCGCTGGCTGCATGACCGTTTTCGTGTTTTTCCCTGTGTGTGACATGGATACAAACGAATTTTCTTTAGAGAGTCCTTCACAAAGTCATTTTTCCTCTTGAGCAGATAGCCCTTGTATGCTTTGGCATAATGCAATAAAACAAGACTATTAATTATTTCTTGATTTTATATATATAGCCACAAAGTAAACATGTTAGTGTGAGAAAGAAATAAATGAAAAACCGAGGTGTTTTTGACTGAGCTAGCAAGCACTACTTATTTAATACAGTTAAAAGTCATTAATCCGGACTCATTGAGACTTCAGCAATTCCGGATTATAGATCATCAGTTTAAATCTGGTAAGATGGCATGCAGAAATTATAAAATTAAAAATATGAAACCGTAATTTACGAAATAAAGAACAATTATGATCTAATGGGTATCAAAATTTACAAAAAAAAAGGCTTAATATTTATTTGTTTACTTTATTAAACATTTCTTTCAATGTAAATTGTTTAAGTTGCTTCGTTTTTTATGTGATAATACTTTCTCTTTAATTCTATAAACAGACATAATCTCTTGCTCAGTTACAAACTTCCACTGTTCAAATCCTATAATTGCTGTGTCGAGAATACCGACTAATTTGTCAATCGAAATTTTTTCGTTTTCAATAAACTCTGTGTCACTTTCTTCGCTATCGGAAGCGAATTATAATGACGAGGAATTTGATTTAAATCATATCAAAGACGGAGTACATCAAGATGAAATACTACATTTAGTAAGGAATTATAAGCCAAATAAAACATCTGCCCTGAAGATAAGGATAGTGCTGACAGATCAACTTCCAGTTCATTGCGCGCCGCGATGTGATAAACAGATTTCGGAATAGTTAGATAAACAAAGGATATTCCTTTATCTTTTTTTTGCAGCAATTCCACTTTTTGTTTAATAGACTTTGAAACATGCTTTCGCTTTGTATATCCTTTACATATTAGTAAATATATATCAGAAATTCTATTTGACATAATCGAAAGTTCAAGCTTACTTTTATAAAGTTGCTCTAACAGTCTGCAAAAAATAATAAGCCGGATCCAGTTCGAAGATTAAGGAACAATGCAATCTGCAACATTAACTGAAATAGATAACTAGATAATATTAGCTTAGCTTATACCATCCGTTATACATTAAACGTGCATTCGTAAACGTATTTTGTGCATGCGCACACATATTCGCAGCCGTGAAGGTCTTACGCGCATGCGCACACGCATATTCGCAGCCGTAAAGGTCTTACGCGCATGCGTCTATATACGACGCATGCGCAGAAAGTTTGTAGCTTTGAGGTCCGGATTATGGCTGTCCGAATTAACGACTTTTGACTGTATTACCAATTCTACAAAAATGAGCTTTTTTAATGGAAGAATTTTTAGCATTTCTCAATTTATTCATCCTTTTGCAAAAATGTTATGCACATTTGAAAAGCATTATGAAAAATTTTCTAGTATGAGACATGTATTTACTTTCTATCTAATTGCTCACCAGCGGCCGAGTGGTAACGTTGCTGAACACTAGTAGTTCAGTCCGAGGTTCGAATCCCGTGAACGAGCTGGCTGCATGGGTGTTTTCGTGGTTTTCCCCATGTGTAACGTGTATACGAGCCAGTTTCCCTTAGAAAGTCCTCCACGAAGGCATCCGTCCCTTAAGGCAGATAGCCCTTGAGTACTTTGCCGTAATCTAATAAACCAAACTTTCTATCTAATTGCTGTCTAACATAGATTTATCAAAAATTGATGTGTGGTGAAATTCCATTTGCGTACGCAGACAGAATTCTATCTTCTTAATGTCTCCAGCATAGTGAGGTGAGCAGGAATTCCATGTACTTATTATTTAATATTGAAATTAGATTTAAAACAATTTACTTTTAATTTCCTTAATTTAAATGTTAAGCTAAAAGAAAGGATTTGTTATGTAGATTTAAATTTGTAAAATTAAAATTCAAAATTTCATCATTGCTGATAATGCATTGTACCTATCATTTTTTTTTTTTTTTTTCATTCAATGATCTGTTATAATTTTTTTCATACTTAGGGATTCTTCCGGGTATATGATGAAATGCCTGATATTTGTATTGATGTGCCTCAAGCTTACACTGTATTGGAGAAATTTGTTACTAAGTGTCACAATGCTGGCTTTTTATTAGATGAAGTTGTAAGAAAGATGCCATCCCGGTAAGTTGGAAATCTTAAAAATAATTTTTTGAGACTATTTTTGTGTTAAAATGTTTCTTTCGGAAAATATTTCAATTGAAGTCATAAGTATGTTTTCAGATTTCATGCATAATATTATTAAATGAAATTATTTTAAATTTGTTTACATGTTTAATTATATTAAATTATATTCAAGTTTCCGTTTGTGAAATTTATGTTAATATCAGTTCTGAAGAACTAAATGGCTGCAATGAAAAATCATGCAAATAGAGAATCTTTTAAAAAATCTGCGATATGCTCATTGAAAATTTTTAAATCATATTAAGTTATTCTAAATTCTTTTCTGAGAAGCAATTTGGAAGGAAAAATTTTATTAACAACTTTATAAAGTCATTAACTTGAATGATTTTCAGCTGAGAATATTGAACTTACTGCAAATCTTTATTTTGACATATCCCTGACTTATCTTCAAAATGTAGAATTTCTGATTTCTGCAAATAAATAGAATATGGGAAATGTGATATAAAACGGAATTGAGAAAAGTTGGTGTTTTCTGGAGATAATAGAAAAAATAATATGAAGTGTGAGGTCACTTCTGACCAGAATGCAAACTTCACAGCTCTTTTGGAGTTTCTGTGATACCAAATTGTTGAATAGCATATATTTTGAATAGCATAGTGAAGCTCCTGGAGAATGCTAGGTGGGAGCTGAAGTGATACATATCTTAGCTCAGCATTCTAGTGTTTTCTGCGTGTCCTATCAGTTTTAAATCCAGATAGTACATGACTCATTCCATCCACCGAATTTCTTCAAGATAATAAGTTACTGTTGCAGAGTGATAGGGCTAAACATTTTTTCACATTAAGGGTAAGTTATTACCGATTGTACCTCTAAACAATATAATAAGATCAAGAATATCAACCCTGTATTTCAGCATTTGTAGTCACACTGGTAAGAGTATGTATACCACTGCTAACATTCAACTGATGTTTTTAGGCTTATAACACATGTTTTGCTCCCTCCGCATCGTAGCACATCTGAGACCCAAACATGAGACTCGTCAGTAAAGGAAATTAGTTTGTGATACTTAAGTCACCATGATCTCTGTACTACTGCATCTAGAAACAATGTGCAGCCTAAGTTAATGGGACATAAATCATGGATTTCCTTGCATTCAGCCCTGTTTTATGCAGCCTATCATGCACATTATATCTAAGTTGTTGAGATCCAATAGCTGTAGCAAACTCGCATGCGATCTGGGCTGATATGAGCTAGTTGCTTTATGTAATGATTCCCAAACAATGGTCCTGAAAGTCTAGTGTGACATGGTATTGACCTTGGCCTTGTTGCATTCATTCATCATAAGTGTTCCAACTGTTTTCAGATTTTTGACATAGTACTTTGAGCTGCTTTTAGGTTTTTACACATGTGTCTGCCCTGCTTCCATTCTATCAATTGCATGTCATTTCTCTTAATCCATTCACCTTCAATATGTCCCATCTTCCACATGTGAAAATTTTATTCAGCTAGTCATACAGTTCTTGAAATCAGAGTTTGAAGCATCCCCTTGCACTTTCCATATGAGCCAAAAGAACTGATACAAAAATTAGATATTTCTGCATAGTCAAGGTTGGACTACATGGTAATCTTGACCTTGAGCTACCAACCAATTACCTTTCATTTTCCTTCATTTTATAGAATTAATGCAAAGCATATTGTATGCAAAGCATAAGTGTTACTTCTTTAATTGTCACGCAAATGTAGTTTGCAGGCAGTATTTTAATATTACATCGCGTGCCCCAAAAATACTTAAATGGGGGAGAAAAGTGGAGAGAAAGGTTTATACCTGGTTAATTTGCACTGACTGAAAAATCAGAAACCTCTCTTATGAAAGTATAAACTGTTCTTTTTATATGTGTATGTTTGTATTCATGATTGAAATGTTAATATTATTACTCTAAATAGTAAACCTCGGAGAAACATATTTCTTAATCCCACCTTTTTTTCTCTCTCACATTCTGCAGTGGACGAAAACGCTTTGTTTCTGAAGGAGATGGAGGAGCTGTAAAGACAAATTCCTACTAATTTGTTTACCCTACATACCATGTCATTGTTATTGCATGTGCATCCTTTTTGTATGTATATGTGTGCAAAGTTTCAGTAACTTTTTTTAGAAATAGTTAATCTGTGAAATGGTAAAAAGTAAATCTGGGGATATTGGATGTGCAGGTTATTTTGACATGTATTGTGAAATCATAAGTCCTTGTGATGTGGCGGCAACTGCATGTTTAACAGTTTTTCCATAATAAAGAGGTTCATGTGTTATGTCAAAAAATTATATATATATATAGTGAGAAGTTCTGTAATTTTTTAATGTTAATTAAAGCAAGCTTCCCAGTTTTATGCCTAAAAATTGTCAATATGTGCAGCATACTTGAAAATTGTTTTATTATAAGATAAAGCTGTATTGAAAACCAAAATCTCAGTTTTTCTTAAATTTTACTGTATAAATTTGATGGTTCATAAAAACTTGTTTTGATGTTATTTTGTATAAATGTGTTCACATTTCTTAAATAGAAGGGAATAATCTCAAAATTCTCCATGTATTATCTTATACAGCATTATGTAACAAGTACTTTTCTTTTTTACTTATTGCAGAGAAACAAATTTATGTGTTAAGAGTTTTATGTATCTTCAAAGTCAGAATAATCATGCAGACATTGCTGATATAAATTTTTTTCAAAATGTTTTAACTTCTACAATGTGGTGGATTTTTATATTTCAGGTAAAATGTGAGTTAATCAGACTTTTAAATAAAAGTGTTTGTTCATTTGTGTTCCATTAAAATAATATGGGATAAAGTAGGTTTCCAAATTGTATGAATGGTGACATGTTGAAGAATTCATGATCATGTGTTATATATAGTTTGTGAAATTAAAATATTTGTGTGGATTGTTGAAAATTTGTAAACTACATACATAAGTAATGTAAATTAAAGATCAGCATATAGTATATAATTATGCATCTTAAAAATTCCAATGGTCTTTTCTGTGAACTTTTATGTAAGACATTTTACCTTAAATATGAGACAAAATGAGAGGTGTGACACAAAAATAAACAAGACTTGTCCAATAAATCATTGTACTTACAGAATCAGTTCTCCGTGACATTATCACCTTCAAAGTAGTTACCTTCAGCTTTCACACACTTCTGTATTAGGCACTATCATTGCTGGTAATAGTTCTGGAATGAGGTTTTTGGAAATCCCTTCAGGAGATTCTCGGTTTTTGCCTGAACCTCTTCAGCTGAGTTAAAATGGCATCCCTTTAAGCAAGATTTAACTTTAGGAAATAAAAAAAGTCAAATGGAGCCAAATCAGGTGAATAAAGAGGATGCCCCATCACAGTAATGTTTTTGCTGGTCAGAAACTGCTTAACAGATAGGCCCATGTGAGTGGATGCATTATCTTGGGGCAATAGCAATCCATCACTCCACAACTGTGACCTTTTTTCCCCACAAATTTTTTTTAGTACTTCCGCGTAGTTGTGTTGATGAACACTGACCACTGGGAACCCACTCAATCATTACAATTCCATTAATGTTGATGAAAACAATTAACATTGCCTTGAATTTTGATTTTGACTTGCGTAATTTGTCCTTTTCCCGTGAAAACCGCTCATGCCATTCAAACACATGACAGTGAGACAGTTTCATCTCCATAAGCCTTATTAACATTTGAAATGTTTTCGTGGCTGATTTTCTTAAGTTTCACAAGAAACTTGATGTTGATTCGCTGTTCAGTTTTTACATTAGACATTTCTTCTGGCAGAATGCAGTGGCACATGTTCACTCAATTATGCACTCCCAACTTGTGTGATTGGTTAAGTCGAAACTGGTTGCATTGGATAGAGAAAGTGTGTGGGATGACATCACCAAAACAGTTTTTGCCAACTCCACTCTTTTTCAAGTTAAATTTAATCTTTCTTTTTTTTTTTTTTTTTTTTTTTTTTTGATTGTGTGTTGTGTGTGTGTGTGGGTCCACCTCCTAGATAAATATTGTATTTTTAAGATTATATATATGAAAAAATATATTTTATATAATTAATTACAATAAATGGAAAAATATTATTTTTGGGGGGGATGTACCTATTTTCCCTTTAATAATTTAACAGAAATAGCAAATATTGAAAAATATAGTACTATGTATTTTTTTGTTAATGCATAAAACATACTTCTGTTTTGAGCATGGAGAGCTATTGTTCACCAATTGTGATACAACTGTATTATGGAAAAGGTGCTAGGTGTGTACAAGCAATGTATTTGAAAAATATAATGTCATTCATAAAAATGATTTTGAATTGTAAGAAATATGAAAATTCCAAGGTAATATTCCATTTTCAGATGTTCATCCCCCCTCAAACAAATTCATAAATTGTAAAATATAGTAATGATTATAGGTATTATAAACAAATATAATTGCAAAATAAATACATTATGGAATTCCATTGGCATTCAAATTCTTGCAGGTCATCTTCCCCTTTTCTGACACTCTAATTCTGAGTTATAGAAAGTGGATTTAACAATCCCCCTTTCATCTTCTGAATAATTTTTAATCACAAAATTTACCTAATATTGTTGTTAGTTTGCTTGATAGCAAATTGTTAGAATCGTTATTTTTGGAAGTATTTCCGATTATGAGTATTATAAAGTGAACTCATTTTTGTAAGAGTATTTTTTAAGCATTTAATTTTTCTTTATTATTTTTTCCTTTATTTCCTTTTATATAAAAACTGTTGTTAAAGGTCATGCTTGTGAGGCTGGAGAATTGTTTGAGACAGTCGTGTGACTTCTTGTGTCTTAATAAATTTGAGATTAAATTATGGCTTGTTTTGTCTCCTCTAATTTGCCTCAAATTATGTATTGAATTTAGGGAGCTATCAAATTTGCATGTACTTAATATTTTTAAGAGAACTCTTATTGCCTACTATATTGGTACTAGTTTCTATGATATTTGAAAAAGATTTGTCTGTATCCCCCCCAGACACACAAGTCACCTATAATGTTAAACTTCTCAGAATATGCTTCTTGTGCTGATAAAAACTGCTGTACTAAGAAACCCATATTAGGTGCTGAATTTTTTAATAAGTTTATTGATTTAAATAAAGCATAAGAGGTTAATTGATGGGTACGAAACTGCGTTGATGGTGTACATCGCACCCCCTCTATTAGGAAGTGTCAATACGCTGGCAGCTTATGTAAATGTTTGTTTTTTTGGCTTATTCCATTCTAACAAACCGAATTTTTTCTATTTATGTAAATATCACCTTGTAAAGAACACCAACCAGTTACACCCCCTAATGTTGGGGAAATAGCTAAAGAATTTCAATACTGCCTAACAATAACAGCATTAGTCTTCTAGGGCAGAATGGCAAGTCCCTACACAGTGACCAAATGACAGACGATTTGTTCCGCCTTTGTGCTATTACAAAGACTGAAGATTTAACTATACCTATCATTATCCATTCCTCGAATTCAAGCGTTTTCACATATCTAGCTCGAAAACTATATTTTCTAAATGCCTTTTGAGGTTATGTTTCATTCCATCGCAACGAAGATAAAGAAAAAACTGCCATCTCAAACTTTGGGTTTACCAATTCAATGTCATGCATTTTGTTCTCAAAGATTACCCCCGCAACCTTTCCAAGATTCATCAGTGAAGTTTTTTATGGCCTAGACTTTGTGTTTCCATATTTGGATAATGTGTTGATTGCCTATTCTTGCGAGGAAGAACATCATTTACATTTTAAAACAGTTTTCCAGTGTTTAGATAAATATGGTCTCTGAATTAATATTAGCAAATCAGTTTTGAGAGTACCTGAAATAGACTTTTTGGGCTATCAAATATCTGCTGAAGGCTCAAAACCTCTACCTAAAAAATTTAAAGCTATCATAGAATATCCATGTCCCCCCTTGCCCCACCCTAGCTATGCCACTAATTGGGAACCAGAACGTAACTTTTATTTCAGGCAGATCAAGAGCTAATCTAATGGAATGTGCTTATCTAGCTCCTATACAACAAGGCATTAGTTCTAATTTCGGTATCGACAGCTCCTTGAGTGGTGCAATCCTAGATTTAGCTCATAGGAGACGATTTTTGACACCAAGAAAAACTTCTATGCTCATAAAAACACAAGCACCATATGATGTTTTACATGCATCTACCAAATACGTGTAATTCAGACGTCTTATTCA